CAAAGCAACCAATGCCACTGCCTCCTTTCTCTGACCCGAGGACAGTCGCGTATATGTCTTCCTGATAATGTACATATGGAACCCATCTGGTGGCCATCTGAACTTTCAACATTCATTAGCTGATATCATAATCTAGAAGAAGATTGAAATTTCAGAAATGGTCATTGTTCTGCCAAAGCTTCATCATAGAAAATAGGTTTTGGAAAAATTGTTTTCCCTATGGTTCATTCTTTAAATCCAGCTGCCTGAATCAAAGAGGAAAGTGGCTAGTCAAACTCATTTATCTTCAATAGAATAATGCACCAGGGCAATGAACAGGCTAAGCCAGCAGAGAATTTCACCCATGCCCTTAATCAAAGGAACAGTGCTATTCATTATCAAATAAACACTTCTTTCCTTACATCTATTCTTGAGATATATATTACAGACCTAATTAGATATGATTACTTTTCCCCTTTAACTTCAATAACTTGAAGGGCAACATTTTAAATAGAGAATCCAACAAATATTTTCATTTCTTTGTATTTTTAATAAGTATCTAGAGAAACAGTGGAGATACTCATTTAGGTAAAATCACTACTGTGTACAGGAACCTTGACATTTCCTAATGAAAACAGGTCTTCCAATTTTCTCTTCTGCAAACTGGCAATTGCACTTTATTTTTAAGCTCTATTCTGATCCTATTTGGGTTTTACATGTTATACTTAATATTGGGCACTGTAGCCTGTAGCAATAAACTTGGATCCATATTTCCAGTTCCTTCTCCCACTCAAGGGGAGGGGAAGGGAGGATGGGGTGTACAGTGTATTGGGTAAGAAAGTGGACTCTGGAGCCCGAATGCCTGGATGCAAGACTTGCCTCCACCAGATCCTAATTGTGACCTGGAGCGGGGGGGGGGGGATCCTTCCGCCTCTTTGTGCCTCTGTGCTCTTGTCGGCAAAGCAAGAACAATAATAGCACCTATATCAAAGGATTCTAAGGGTTAATTAAAATAATTCATGTAAATTGCTTCACACAGTTCCTGGCTTAGTCACTGCCCAGTTCCTGGCTTAGTAATCTGTTTTTATTACTGCCTTACACTCCTGCTCAGCAGGACTGCTTGCTGTCCCATAACCACATTCTGTGCTTCTGTCCTGCTGTGCTTTGTTCTCATTGTTCTGAGTCTAGACCACCTTACGGCTTATTCTCTAGTCTGATGAAAGGTCTGTTTCATCCTGACCCCTTTCATCCTGACCCGTTTCATCCTGACCCATCTAACCAATCACGACTTGGCCCCACTGGCTTGTCTGTTTGCAGTTCTCTTATTATACTCGTTATATTAACCCTACCTTCCATTACAGTAATTTATGACTTTGTCTCCTTCAAAGGTAAGGACTGTGTCTTACTAGCCTATTTATTTTCTACAGTATTTAACAATCTGCAAAGAGTGGTTACTCAATTAGCATTTACTGAATTTGAAAAGTTACATTTACTTCTGAAAGTTAAGCACAGTATATTATACTATCTATAACAGCAGTTTTCTCACAGGATGCTGATAAAGATGAAATAATGCATATAAAGGACGAATGAGTTATTATTTTATCATTATTCATGTGCAGTAAGTGCTTTGCACATGTGAACTCCTTGAAATAGAGCCTGGTATAATGACCTTTCATTTCTCTTGCACTGGGTAGATGAGATAAAGGTGTTTTTTAATGACTGATGAAGAAAAACGGCATTAATATGGCAAATTTAAAAGTAACTGAATTAGCCATATTATTTAAAAGTTGGCCTGAATAGATAATGAAATTCCTGATATTTCACAGTGTAGTTTGGAGGACCAAAATAATTTGAGATGTTCAAAAAGAGATGAAAACTTGCAAATCTTAAAAACAAAAGGTAGTATCGTGCAAACGCGTATCCAGTGTTCAGGACTCCTAAGGGAAAATGGCACTGCTTCTGAAAGCCTCGATCCTCTCAATCATAAAACAGGCCAATAACTGGAACCTACTGCCCACGGGTGCTGTGAGGATTAAATCAGATGATGCTGGTAAAGAGCTTAGAACAGTGTGATAAGTAAACATATATATTTATCTAATGTGTTTTCATCATAAGAGATGCTCTCAATTATCTAATACATGAAGATGTAGGACCATGATGGAAAAACTAAATCCAGAGTTAATCTAAATTTGCTGGGTCACAAACTGCTCTAAATTCTTGACAAAGTGAAATCATTGGCAGGTTATTTCATCTTCTTACTGACCTTTAGATGACAATGGAAATGGACATCAATCAACAGTGAAAAACCCAGGAAGGTATCAGGGAGGTGAATGTGAAAGCATGGGTAAGCCGCAAAGCATATAATAATTTCTTAAAACTTTGGGAATTAAAATACCTACTTCAGGTCCCACATAAATATCAGAGTCTAGTCAAATGAAAAATAAATTTTTATATTTTTGTGAATTACTATCTTTTATAGTATATAGATATAACTTACATCTGCTCTTCTGTTCATTTCATTTTTAAATGGTAAGATGAAAAAAAAAAAAGAAGAAAGAAAAAAGCACCAAAGATCTGAAAGGCAAAATGCCACAATATAGCAAGCAAATAGTGTTTTCTTTATCCAGGCATAATTACGTGAGCTGTTAAAGTAGAAAAGATTTTAAAGGAACCATTTAAGTAAAACTTAAAGGGAGATGTAGAAGGTCCTTTTAGTGAGTCCAGTTTTTTGGTATTCATACTATCAATCTCTTTAAATATAAGGATGTACAAAGCATGAAATTTCAAAAAATGATGACATAGATGGAAACTAAAAATGCTTTGCAAAGATTCAAATGCATAATGTACTGCACTTACAAGCATTTCTTTTTCAAAATCTGTATTTGTAAAGGCACCGAAATAATTAGTTTCTCACAAGGATTTCAAGGCATTAATAAAATTTCCTACCAAAAATATGACTCCCCAGACTAAACACCTAAGTACGTGTGTCCTCTGTTTTTTATCAGTATAATTCTGGGCTTTAAATGCTATGAATATATAAACGGAAAGAGAGGCCAAGCGATGGTGTCCCTTAGTTCAGATAAAGAGCTGCTCATACAGAATAGCAGGTTTTAAACGTCTAGATTCTACTGCCTAGAATTTAGTAAAATTTCCAAAATAAAATTGGGGAGACTCATAAAAGAAGACAACTAACACATATTATCATCAATAATTTATGAAGGAAAGGATAGTTTAATATCCCCAAGAATAAGAAACCCATCATTTCAGAATAATGGGCAGTTTTGTGAATTAAACAAATGTACCTTTAAGTTAAACTCATTATACTGCTCTCATCTTTCCTGTGTGGATGGGACCATATAGTGTTTATCACAGAGCAGCCCCATCTCCAACATTTTGAAAACACTAAGAGAGGGCACAAAATGTGACAGAGAGCCCATACAACGTCTACCATCGGGGCACTCATTTTTAAATTTAATATAAGTAAAACAAAGGGAAAAAGGAAGAAAATACCTCCTTTACACAAAATAATCTGTTGAATTTAGAATGTGCAGTATATGATTATATTATCAATGTCTAAATGTTGTTGTTTTCCTTGAAAAGTGTAGTAACTGAAAAGACTGAATCAGTAAAGTTGAACCTAATCATTATTTTTCTACTCTTCCTTTGTTAGAATAAATGCTCAAAATATTTATTGGAAGAACAGCACCCAAAATAGTTAAGTTTATGTATCAGTAGTCTTCTGAAGCATTCAAAGTGCTCAAATTTACATGTTATAAACATGGATACTCACAGCCTATTTGAAATATACATATGAAATAGACATTAGCTATGCTTCACAATAAGTGAGATGAATGGACAAAAGGAGCAGTGATTAGAAAAGTTACATCCAAATATTGGTTCCTAATAATATATTCCTATCAGCTAATTTAAAAGAGTGAATATTCCTTGAAACTGATATTTTTGAACTACCATTCATTTTAATAAAATTCAAATTTTTTCCTAATTAAAAAAATACCATCAAAATCTGCTTATAAAATGGAATTCAATAACTGGACCAATTTTACTTTTGGAAGAATTTTTTTAAAGTGCAATGGGAAAGCTACTACCACTCACTGCCAGGACGCAATATGGCTAAAATATTCAAAGAAAGAATTAAAATAAGAGTATATAGATACAACGTCTAATAAAACTAGCTCGTATGCTCAAATGATTCCAAGTAGAATGTGGTTAGTGGATTTTCCAGATTATAGTTTTGCATTCTCTACTCTTCTGCCTCCTCTATATGGATTATCCTATCACTCATTTGTATCTGGATCAACGGCTCCACATTAAGGTATAGGAAATAGGGAAGTGAGAAAATCTTGAGCACTTTCATTTTGTTACAAATTAGGACCCAGATTTCTTAAATTTTGAATTTTTTATTTAAACACCTCGGCTAAAATACATTTTTGGTGGTATTAATAGACTAAAAATTAAAGCTTTTAAGAATGGTGTGGAGTAGTGGCTCCCAGTACAGGCTTTGAACTTATCAACTGTGTGAACTTGGACTTACTACTGAACCTCTCTCTACCTCAGATTCCTCATGTCTAAAATGGGGATAAAAATGGTATCATTTTCTTGGGGCTGGGACAATAGTTGGGATAACATATTAAGATACTTAAAACAGAGCCTGGTGAATATGTTCATTAGTGTTAGCTATTGTTATTACTGTTATTGCTACTACTTATTCCTGGAGTATTTGAAAAATTCATTGCATTTATGGAAGATTACCCAAAGAGCTGAACATTGTTTAAGTACTGTGTCAGTCCTGACAAAGAGAATTTCAACAGATGAGAAATGTTCAGAGTTAAGAAAAAAGAAAGTGAATAAATGCAAAGAGAAGTTCCTTCACAAAAAATAGTATCAGTTTTCCCCATCAAAAAAGAATTATTCAGGGCTTCCCTGGTGGCGCAGTGGTTGAGAGTCTGCCTGCCGATGCAGGGGAAAAAATAAAGAACGATTCAGGTCTGTATTCTGGATGCCTAGTGGAAACCTGAGCAGCAAGAATGTTCTCCCCTGGTAGCCACACTTACCCCCTGTTCATCCAGTTTCATGAGTTGCTCTGTGACTTTGGGGGTGTTGAAGGCCAACCGCAGGCACTGGACGTTGAGCTCAGGAATCACGTGCTCCAGCACTTCCTTCAGGGGCAGTCCCCGGGCGGTCGAGTGCTTTGCCGTTGAGGGTATGGCATCCTCCAGCACTGACCCTCTCAGTGTCATGAGCTGAAAGAGAGACATGTGCTCCGGCGAGATGAGCAAATACATCAAATGCACTGAAAGCCCAGTCTGAGGTCCCCCTTAGGGAGCTGGAAATGACATTTGATTGGTTGAGCCAGTGAGGGAGAAAGGATGAGGGAAGTGATGTAAGATACTTTGTATATGAAAAATGAGACCAACACTTTCAAGACCCAGGTAAGTCCAACAGAACTCATAATCAAGCCTTCCAAGGACATTTCCTTAAATACCAAATAGAGTGCGTATTTCCCTAGAGAGCTCAGAAAGATCAAGGTCTCCATATAGCTATACAGTGCCACTCACACACTCACCAGGAAATTAAGAAGGAGCTATCCCTGAGAATATCTGAAGACTAAATGCTGAGAATTTAGATGTTACACCTTTTTGAATTATAAAAGGTAAGGGTGGGGGGAGAGGAAAGTTTTAAATTTCATAATGTACTGTTGACTAGCTGAAACTATTCCCATCCCCAAATGCTGCTACAATAGGACAGTGATTATAGGTAGTAGAGTGGCACCATCAACAGCATTTAAAATGACTTTTGCTTTACCCTTATGTCTTGAGATCCCTTCTATTACTACGAAATAAAAACACGAGCAAAGAATTTTCCTTAAGTAATGATGATCTGTTGAAGTAAACTAGTCTTAGTTTTCAGACATTTCCACGTGGCAAAGTTGTCAGTATAATTTAAACACTGTACGGTGACCTAAAGAAAAAGCCCATTAAGTCGAACGAATTTCTGTTAAGTGTGTAGGTTACAAGGCACTGTACTGCAACAGGAGCAAACATTGAGGGCTGCGTGTGGCATGCAAGAGGGTGAGAGGTAAGAAATACCCATTCAGGAGGCTATATCTACTAAGAAAAGTTTAACAAGGTCAGGTTCTACAAGAGTCCAAAGGCAGAAAAGGGATCACCGTGGCTCAGGGCATAAGGAAAGGCCCTCATGGAAACGGGTGGCACTGAAAAGGGGCCTTGAAATCTAGGAAAAATTATACAAAAAGACAATGTCAGAGAGCAAAGGTGTGGAGATGAGAAAGATCGGGGTGTGAGCGGGAAAGAGCGACTGCTGTAGCTTAGCTGGATCTAAGCGAGCCCAAAGGGGCAGTGGGTGGCGAAGCTACAGGCAGGCCGGAGCCCCGAGCCGAATGTACCCTGACGGGCGTGCACCTCATCCGGCTCCAACCGGCCATATCAGAACTTGTTTGCATAGGGATGATGATGTAAGAAAATTCAGCTGGCAAATAAGATGAACTGCCCGAGGAAGAAACTACAGGTAGAAAAAACAGAAACAAACTGTAAACAGTCTTCAAGTAACAGGCAGAGGGTGTGACAGAGGATTAGCAGGGAGAATGGAAACCAAAGGAAGAATCACCAGGGAAGTAAAATCTATAACTGTGCCAACTGATGGAGAAGAGAGATGGGGGTAGGAAAAGCCAACGTTACCAACCTCTGACTCTCAAGACAAGAAAAAGGTGCTGGGTTATCTGCAGTCTGTTCATTTGATTAGTATCTTTTCTTTCATTTATAAATAGTTTGCTTTCAAATGACAGTTGTGTAAAAAATATCTTTTTCCTGTGACTTAATAACTAATTTGACAGAAATAATTGTTTCGTTTTTTAAATCACGAAAACGGCTGAGGAACCCCCGTGCTCCTGGGGACAGGAGGCTGCAAAGGCTGTACGTATTTCCAACTGAGAACCCCAGATGAGGAATACTAATCATTGCTAATCCTGCACCACAGGAAGACAGCAGCCCACCTCAAGAAAGCCAGAGCAGGGCTTCCCTGGTGGAACAGTGGTTGAGAGTCCGCCTGCCAATGCAGGGGACACGGGTTCGTGCCCTGGTCCGGGAGGATCCCACATGCCGCGGAGCAGCTGGGCCCGTGAGCCATGGCCGCTGAGCCTGTGCGTCCAGAGCCTGTGCTCCGCAACGGGAGAGGCCACAACAGTGAGAGGCCCGCGTACCGCCAAAAAAAAAAAAGAAAGCCAGAGCAGAAAACCAAAAAGGAATGATTCCTTTTTATACCTGAATCACTAGTGTTACTGATATTTTTGTTAATGACTTCCAGAAACAGGAAGAGAATCCTCCTAAATCCCTGTGCACCCATGCTTAAAAGCACTCACACCACAGATTTTGTTCATAAACAGTCATGCTTCCAAATACATGTAAATTCCTTTTTTGTTTCTTTGTTGTGTAATGTCTATTTCTACTGAAAGAGATTTGTTTGTATTTCTGTTATCTTGATGCCATTTACTGAAGCAACAGCAGTGTCACTGTGATGACTATGTTTTCTTTTTTCTCAATGGATTTATTAACAGGAGAAATCAATAGCATGAGAAGTCCCTACAAAGGGCATAAGAATTAAGTCTTACTTTATTATATACTCAGTGAA